TGTGTGGTGTGTGTTGTTGTGTGTGTGGTGTGTGGTTGTGTGTGTGTGTGTGTAGTAAGTGTGTGTGTGAGAGAGAAACGCCCTCTGCAGGGAACACTGGGATTGTATCCTTTGCAGAGCCTCTTTAACAAATGACCTTTACTTGTAATTGAGTACTTTTAAAACTAAAACTACTACTTTTTTACCCAGTAAAAGTACTTTTTCCGCACTGCCGTCACTTTCTGAACAGTTCCTTCCTGACTCTAACCCCCCCCCCCCCCCTCTCTCTCTCTCTCCCCCCCCCCTCTCTCTCTCTGGGTTATTTCCACCTGACTAACTCTCCTCTCTTTTTTTGTGTCTTCAGAACAATCAGGACAATCAGAAATCTCAAACCATCAAGGAGACACAGACGTGAAGCCCCCCCCCAATGGTGAGTTTACATGTTAGACACACACACACACACACACACATACAGGCCCCTCAGTTTATTATTGGTTAGGGGAGCCCATGGTACTGTAGCTGGGACTCATAAATCACACTGACGTTGGCTGATAGGAACCACATGTTCGCCGCAGAGTGATGACCTCATCGTCCTCACTGTGGTTAACCCGGAGGAGAGAGTGAAGGGAGGGGGGGACATGATATTTTGGGGAGGGGGGAGACATGAGATGGACAGATGGGAAGATTGTTAATATATTATTTATATGTTTTTTATCCAATGTGCACACCGCTCTCTATTTTCTTTTCTGCAGAAATATTTTATTTTATCTTTTAATTCAACTTTAATTCAAGAAATCGATTTATTTTGTATTATTTTATTCCAAATGTCACTTTTACGTCTCATATTTTTTTTACATATTTGCATTAAAAAATGTATTGCAGATTTGATTGAACCTCCTTTTTATATATAAATATGGATTCTATGTTATGTGTTTTATTTTAATTGCACCTTAAATTATCATTATTTTTATTTTATTCCAAAATAATGTTGATTCTGATTCTCTTGTTTTTCTCTGCAGGACACTTGAGTTTCCAGGACTGCTTTGTGACTTCAGGGGTTTGGAACGTAGCCGAGCTGGTCCGAGTGTCACAGAGTGAGTCTCACCTGTCTCACCTGTTTGAATGGATGAACAGGGTGGTGCGGGAATGAGTCCTAAACCTGAGTCAGCATTTTAGCACTTCCTGTCCCTTTGTCTGGAAGTCAGTGAGGTCGAGGGTGAATAAATAAACTAAAGATATTCCTTTTCTTCTGGTGTGTGTGCGTCTGTGCGTGTGTCCCTCAGCCCAGTTGCTACGGCGACAGGTCCGAACTTCTCCCTGGCTGACCTGGACAGCCCCGGGTATTACAACATCAATCAGGTGACGCTGGGCCGACGCTCCATCACCTCCACCCCCTCCACCAGGTACACACACACACACACACACACACACACACACACACACACACACACACACACACACACACACACACACACCTGCTCAAAATGCACTTTTCCCTGTACTAATATTCTTCTCTTCTTGACTCTTTAACCACTTAAGGGTCTGTACACATTCAGGCGTTTTAGGCTAACTCCTTCCCTTATAGTCGTAGCCAGCTTAGTGAACCAGGACATCTTGATTACCCCAAAGTGTTGTGTTAGAAATGTATAGCACAGGTCCCCCGCACATAGAAAAAACAGCTGGATGCTAACCTGCATATGTTGGGACTTTTGCACAATTAGCATTAGTTAGCATTATAGCCTGTATGTTGACAATAGTTCAAAAATGGCTTGGCCGATTTGGATAATTTTGAAGTGGTTTTTGGGGGTTATTGAGGATGCGGAGTCCATTTCTGTAATATTCAGGATCAAAAATTGCAGTTTTAACTAGAAAGTGACCATATTTGTACTCTCGTATTTGAAGTCTGAGAGGACGCTGTTAGTATTTATTTAAACAAGGACCTCGCATACAAGTACATTCATCTCAGAAAAGAGATGTGTTATGCCAGATTTGAGATAAATATAAATACTAATATGAACCTGAAACTGAGCAGAAAATGTCAACTTTAAACACACTTAAAAAACAACACCATGAAGAAGTGGTGATGATGCTGTTAGCTGTTAGCCTAGCTCATGTGTACAGACCCTTACACTGCTGTATTTGTTATGCTTGCTCTGCTTTTTGACTGTGCTTTTTCTCTCCCTTTTCTTCCTCCTCCTCTTCATCACTGCTAACCTTCTTCATCCCTGCTCTCTCTCTCTCTGTTTGTGTGTCTCCGTTACCTCCTTCCCTCGCTCCTCTCACGCTGCAGGACTGAGATGGAGCTTTATGCAAGTCTCCCACGGAGGTAGTTACACTCATTACAGAATCTCTCCCCTGATGCTAATGTAACACAGAGCTCTGCATCACACACACACACACACACACACACACACACACACACACACATGTTGTCACACAGAAATGCACACGAGCGAGCACATATTTAAACATGTTGGATCGCTGTACGTTCACGAGAGCCTTTAATTTTATTGGTCACAGATGTATGAGTCTATAAGAATATGCTAACACACGCACAAATGAGTTCCAGCATCAGCACACACACACAGATCAGTTTCTGTGTGTGTACAGCACGCTGAATGAAGTCTGGCCTCGTGTTCGTCTCGCTGTCTCCAGTTTGCGTTGCCCCCTCCGGATAAAACATAATACTAAAAGAAAACATAGCGGGGGAAAGCCTTGACGTTTTTACATTTTTAATAACATATTGATTTCAGGCAGATACATGTCGGACTACAGGGGGAACATGGACCCATATACTGTCCTCAAAATTCCCCACAAATCATGTGCGTGCATTCATTAGAGCCCCGTTAGAAGTGCCTGTGAGAAACCAGCAACATGCACGTTTAAGAACAATGGAAATCTCAAACGAAATGTAAACATCCAACTCCTTTCTTTCCCTGTAAAACAAGCAAGGAAAGTTTAATTTAACGAGCACGTTTCTACTCGAGGCAATCAAAGTGCTTTTCAATACGACATTTAGACTTCATTTAGTCAACAGGAACAAATCATAAAATCACATTTAAGCTTCCTGTTGTCCTCGGATCAAATGTCCTGCTTTCTTTTTAAATGATTTCATGTCGTAAATGGGGTTATTTAATCTAATTGCCACAAAAATAACATGGATGATTTCGTACTACTTTGATCTTGAGAAAAAGGAATGATCACTGGGGTTTCTTTTATTTATAGCATCTGGTGTTTATTATGTGCTGTCATTAAAACAGTTTAAATGGTCCCAAAACAGATTCCTGACTAAACTTTGATGGAAACGAGTTTATGATGGTTTATGGGGCGATCTTGGCGCAGTGGGTTAGAGCGTTGATCATCAGATCAGGGGGCGTTGGTGAACTCCAGTTCGAAACCCGCCACTGCGTCAGGCCGTTGTGTCCTTGGGCAAGAGACACTTCACCCGAATTTGCTCCTGTGGATAATGTCCACAGTTAATACTCTTACATGTCTAATATGTGTAATTGTAAAGCACTTTGAGCACCGCTCTAATAAAAAATGTGATGCATTATTATTATGATAATCCATCAAAAGGTTATTCTGATCTTACTTATAGTCAAAACCATTCAAATGTCTGCCTTTTTAAGCTAAAAATAATAATGTTAATTTTGTGTCAATGAGGTCTTATTGACAAACAACGATAATAAGGAAAGTAGAAATTGAGGTAATGAGTTGAAATGAAGTCTACATTAAAGGTGTAAACCAAAATTGCAAGATGATTTATACTGTACACTTTATAAACAGTCAAAGTTGCACAAAAATACTATTTAAAACAAGCTAAAACAGAATTGGACATGGTTAAGATTTACAGTTCAGTGTAAGATGTGAGAAGTTATTTAATTCAAACAGAAAAGTCTTCAGTCCTGATAAAAATAAATAAGGTTGATTTTTGTGGGTTTTTTTTAATTTATAGCATCTGGTGTCATTATGTGCTGTCATTAAAACCGATTCCCGACTAAACTTTGACATAAACCTGTCTATGATAATCTATCAAAATGTCTCTCTGATCCAAATTATACTCGATAGTTATTACAAGTTATTTCAGTTTCTGCTTTTTTAAACAAAAAAATAAGGTAAATAGCCGCTTTCACACCAAGTACTTTGCCGTACTTAGTTCCCAGCATTTAGTACCCCCATGGAGCTAAGTACAGATCGCGTTCACACCGGAATAAGATTACGCAAATGAAGCCGCTGACGTCACTTCTTCTTCTTCTGCTTTGGGTTTACTGGCAGGCCGCAAACATCTTCACGGCGTATACTGCCGCCCAAAGTCCCCGGCCGGAAGTCCTCGGAGTTGGGGACTTCCACACCTCCTCATCTCCACCGCTCCCATGTTTTCTTTTGTGTTGCCATAAGTTAGTCTCTCTCAGTTGGTGCGACGGGGGCTAACGCTAATGCTTAATAATGCTAATGCAGCAAATACAATGGCGGCTTCACAAAACTTTCCGAGTTTTACGGGGCGTGGTTTGCAATTCGCCCAGCCAATCGAAATTGGTACTTTTTTCTCCCCAGGATATACAACCTCTCTAGCAGGGACTGAAAATGGGGGTAAAAGTTCTCGGAACTACGTTCTCTTTTTGGTGTGAACGCAAAATTCCAGGCACTATCGCAACTAAACGGGAAAAAGTACGGGGAAAAGTACTCCGATGTTAACGCGCCTAATGTTCTGTAAAGGAGGTCTTATTGATAAATGATTAAAAAAACAGTGTAAAACTTGTGGTAATGAGTTGAAATGATTTGAGTGATATACAAACCACGACTAAAGTTGCATATTTGACAGAAAGACAACACAAAAGGGTAAAACCAGTGGTTAAAAAGCCATGAGAATACATATTAAACGAGCTAAAATTGAAAAACAGGTCTAAAATACATGATTAAAGTTATTAGCACCGAAAAGTCTTCATTCCTGATTTAAAATAAGTTCCTAACTCTCTTATTTTTTCCTCTTAGCTCCAACAAGCGTAAGTCCATTGACGACAGCGAGATGGAGAGTCCGGTGGACGATGTTTTTTACTCGGGTCGATCCCCGGCGGCCGGCAGCAGCTCTCAGTCCAGCGGCTGGCCCAACGATGTGGACGCAGGTAGTGCCGCTAACACACACACACCACACACATACACACATACACACACACACACACCCTGCAACCCCCATCCTGGAGCTGGTCCACATCAATCAGCTAAAAGGAGGCTTATAAAACCTTTACATTGAACTTTAACGCACCTGAAAAAACATTTATTTTAACATTTTATTCTCATTTTGGAAAATATCCTTATTCACGTTCTAGTTTTAGCGTTAAATGAGAAGTTTAATACCAGTTATTCCTCTCATCTACCTCTCAATGAGACAGGGAATCCTAATGTTTCTCAAAATATTGTACTGTCCTAAGCTTAAAAGTATTCTGTAGCTAGCTTAGCTTAGCATAAAGACTGGAAACAAGTGCAAATAGCTAGCCTGGCTCTGTGCTGAGGAAACAATCTCCATAAGTACGTCATACAATCCCACTTTAAAGTACTAATGGAAGCTTTCTTGTTGAGGGTTGAATGAGAAGATAGATACTCGCTCATGAAGCACATGTGAAGCTGCAGCTGGTTAGCTTAGCTTAGCATCAAGTCTCTGTGCAGAGGTTTCAAAATCTGCCTACCAGCTCCTCTAAAGCTCATTAATCAACACCGTATGTCTTATTAAAAGTGCCAAACGATGCACTGTGGTTTTAGGGGGGTTAAATGTGCACAGCTATTTTTAGTTAGTTCCTGAACTCCTTGGGTTTTGTGCTGAGTAAACAAACAAAACATGATGTGTTAATTAGAAAGCTTTAGAGGAGCTGGTAGGCAGATTTAGTTTTTGCCAGGCTAGGTTTTTCCCTCTGTTTCAGTCTTTATGCTAAGCTAAGCTAACCGACTGCTGGTTATAGTTTAATATGTACTTCAGAGAGTGGTATCAATCTTCTAATATAACTCCCTGCAAATAGCAAATACCTGTAGCCTATTATCCAAAATGTGTTTCTTGAAATGTTCATGACTTAAAAGTTCAACTTCAGAAAGAAACATACTTAGCTTTTAAATTTTAAATTTAAAACAATGTGTTCAGGTGTTAATTTCCCACTTCCTGATGTGAACCAGTAGCCAAAGCTCACCTCACACATCCCTTCGTCTCTGTACTATGATGTTGACCCTTCTCTCCACCATTATCATCCCACATCTCTTTCTACCCTCATCATCCATTCACAACTTCTCTAATACTTGGTTTTTATATGAGAAAAAACAACGTTTCCACTCATTGTAATAAGCTAAGCTAAGCGGCCCCTGGCTCAGCAACAGCAAGCTACTCGTTATCTTACCAAAGACTAAACAAACAAGATATAACATGCTACCTTAGCTAGTTAGCAAGCAACTAGTTAGCTTAGCACAGACTGGAAATGGGGAAACAGTTACCTTACATGTTGTCTATATGCTTCCAATTTAGTTAGAATTAAACAAACAAGACATGACATGCTACCTTAGCTAGTTGTTTACTCCTTTTTCATGCACTTTTGCTAAGCTAAGCTAACCGGTCTCTGGCTCAGCTACAGAAAGCAACCAGTTAGCTTAGCTGGAAATGGGGAATAAGTTACCTTACATGTCTTATTTAAGCTTACAATTTAGTTCAAATTAAACAAACAATATATAACATGCTATCTTAGCAAGTTGTTTACTCCTTTTTCATGCACTTGTGCTAAGCTAAGCTAAGCTAACCGGCTTCTGGCTCTAGCCGTAAAACTTAAAATAGTTGTTTTTGAAGTCTGTTTTTTGTACAGATTAAACTAACAGGGTTTATTAATATGTTAATAGGTGAGTTATAAAGGTAGTGGTCGGCAGAGTTGTTTTTAACTTTTAGACATAGCCAGGCTAGCTGTTACTCCTGTTTTTACTCTTTATGCTAAGCTAACGTTAAGCCAAACAACTGTAGCTTCATATTTAGCGTACAGTAATGACGCATCACTCTTTTCATAAATAACATACATCCCTTTTATATTATTCCCTGACACAGTTCTACATATGTTGTCTTTATGAGTATATCAGTAGAGGAGCGTCTGTGTTTCCACCCATTGACTTCTTAAATCATAACCACTCACCCCTTGGCTTACATCATTTTTAACCATCATGATGGGTTCCATGTGAAATGTATTTAAGACTTGATGTATATCTCTGGGGGTTTAGCTGTTTAAATTGTATTCTGCGTCACTCCCACTCACATGCTGCCGTTTTAAAGCCCCCAGCAGTAATGATGTAATGATTTTATAGACACTCGCCTGCACTCTATAACATCAAAGTCCCTTGTTGCCCATTATTTAACCACTTTCTCTCCCTCTCTAATTCTTTCCATCTCTGTCTTTTGTTAAACTCTTCCCTTTCTCCCCTGTTTGGCCTTTCAGTGCAGCACCATTTGGCCAGTGTGCAGGAGAGGAAGATTAAGCATGAGAGCGATGGAGTGCAGTTTCCTTACCATGGTTAGAACAACATTAAACATTATATACTGTGCACCACCCTGTATCTCTTTCTGTCTGTTCCTGTGAGCTCTTCTGCATCATCCCACTCTCTCTCTCTCTGGTGTAATGTTGTCTGGCTGTGCTGCCGCTGGGTGGGTTGTTTCTGCCAGATGTCTGCTGTTGTCCATTGTGGGTAAACCAAAGCCTTTTGGTCGCCCCAGTAGCTCCATAACATGCACCGCCTGTCTGCCTCAAAGATGTTATTGTGGAAGATGAAGACGTCCCTGGTGCATTCAAGACGTCTCTGAATCCCTTTAATCCTGACAAACTTGTGTTTTCAACGTTCAATTATGTGCATTATCATATCCGAAAAACCACATTGTTGTCACACAGCACATGCATACAAACAGCTTTTTCGTGGCGGTTCGAATTCAGCAACGTGCAGCGAAGGGCTTTGAGTGTAATTTTGTGTGTGTGTGTGTCCTAGCATTACTATACTTGTGGGGACCTAAATCTGTTTACACAGTCACGTGTGGGGACTCGCCTCCCTTATGGGGACAAATTGGAGGTCCCCATAAGGGGAGTCATTAATTTTAGGGTGAAGACTTGGTTAGGGTTAGGCATGTGTTGGTTCTGGTTAAGGTTAGGTTAAGTCTCCAGGAAATGCATGTAAGTCAATGTAATGTCCCCTGAAGTGATGTATACATGGTGTGTGTGTGTGTGTGTGTGTGTGTGTGTGTGTGTGTGTGTGTGTGTGTGTGTGTGTGTGTGTGTGTGTGTGTGTGTGTGTGTGTGTGTGAGGGTTTTGTTGAGTGTTAGCCGCTTCATGCTGCCGGCTTGTTGAGTGCTGTCCCAATCGCCTTTTTGAAAGACAGCGGCGGAAAAAAAACAATATATACGACCCAGACAAACAGGACTGACGGCACTCAGGTGTGTCATCAAAGCACACAGCCTTCTGTCTCTGAGACATGCTTACTCACAGTTACACACACACACACACACACACACACACACACACACACACACACACACACACAAATGTACATTTCAGCTCTTTCTCTGATTTACATTCACACACATAAACACACTCCCCAATCTGGAGAGGAGCAGCGTTTGGGTCCAGATGGCGCCTCCATGTGTCTACAGCGAAGGGAGCTACTGGGTTACAGCAGACATCTGTTCTGGTGCTGGTGGTGGGAGTGAGAGAGATGAGGAAGGGGGAGGAAGAGGAGGGAAAAGGGGGGAGGGTTTCCGCCTGCTCTGGAGTTGATGCTTTACCTGAATGAAAAGCTCCGAGGCATCGCAGGTGATCATGTAATCCATCATTAAGTCGTCTGTCTCCTGCTTGCTGCCGCTCAATGGGGGGGGAAAGGTGATTTTGATATGGAGTGGTGCAGGGATGATGTATTTTTGTAGGCCAAATTGAAAGTTAGCATGCAAGAGGTTCCCCACAAAAATCCAATGTCATTTTGGATTATGCCAGAAAATAATCTGTGTCAAACAAACAATTATAATACACGTTTAGTTCAGCGCCACCGCCGCTAAGCTAAAGGTGGCTAATGTTGAGTGTGATGAAGTTTAGTCGTCTCATTTAGACACATGTTAGCAACCTCTGTTTTTTAATTCACCAGTGGGGGATTTACTGACGTATTTTCTGTCGTAAATTACAAATCTCTACAGCTTGCATTAACCACAGACCTTACATTATATCAGACTAAAACACATTCAGAAACCCGTTTACTTCTAGACAAGGGAACAGTAAGTGCTAAAATGCTGACTCATTCCCAGGGTGAGGACTCATTCCCGCACCACTCTATATAAATCCTGCTAATTGCTGGGTGTGGGAGCTGCTAACGTGTCATAAAGGGGTATATAAACTCTTTGTTTATGAGTGCTAATGATGTGTGAGCTACACCGCTAATGAGGGACACCTCTCTGATGGGGGACATTGTTTTTCTTTTTGCTTACCTGATGACATGTCCGTGTGTGTGTGTGTGTGTGTGTGTGTGTGTGTGTGTGTGTGTGTGTGTGTGTGTGTGTGTGTGTGTGTGTGTGTGTGTGTGTGTTGTGTGTGTGTGTGTGTGTGTGTGTGTGTGTGTGTGTGTGTGTGTGTGTGTCTTGGTGCACATGCTAGTTGGGAGGTGTTGTGTGGTCGCCAGCTTGTTAGCGTGGCAAGGCTAAAGGGTCATGGGAGCAATTGGCTGCCAGTCTGCTTGTGCAGTGTGCCAGCAGCAGAGCATAGAAATAATGCAGAACAAACAACTGTGAGTGTGTGTGTCTATGTGTTGACTCTCACACACACACACACACACACACACACACACACACACACACACACACACACACACACACACACACACACACACACAGATTAAGGGAGAGATCAGAGTAACTTCTGTTGGTTTTATCAGACGGAGCTTTCATTGGGCATCTGGGCCTCATTTGCCGCTCCTCGCTGAGAAGCAGATATTTCGGCGAGATACGAACTAATTAGAGGGAATCACATAGACTAAAAACAATATGTATAATTTAAGGCTGTTTATGCATAATAAGCTGGTTATAATTGAACTTGTGCTGTGTGGTGGCACGCTCTCCTCCCTATACGTACCACAGAGGAGCCAAACGCAGCGATGCGTTCAAACACACAACATGGCGTCTGTTTTTAACGGTCTGAAGGCCGCTTTAAATTAAATTATACAACCCCAGCTCTCAGCACATTTTACAGCAGACATGAATATATAAAACAGCACCATTTAACTTATAATATATATGTCTTTTATTCGTATTTTTTTCAACTAATTCAACACAGTTATTATTTTCCTTTGATTTTTTTACTAATACATTTGATTGAAAGCAGGAGTTTGTATTCGGAGAGAAATGCAAGAAAAACTAACCCAACGTCCAGTATTTTCAATATATATATATATATATAGTCAAGGTTCAAGAAAACAGACTTAGTTGAAGCGGAAAGCATATCTTAAATGTATTATAATTTAAAAATGCCAATACCTGAAATCTTATGGCAAAATAACTACAAACTTTGTTATACATTAATCTCAAAATGTTAAAAAGTCTCGAGGTTAGAATTCAACAAAGTAATGTATTAATGGCTAATTTACAGTGCATTCTGAAATGGGCCATTGGGCAGAATTAGTACATGTTGATGCTAAAAAGTTGTTAATTTCCGATCCATCTTCAGGTAGAAGATTTTGTAATTGACATTATGTAAAAATGAAATCAGGAGTTTTAACTATATTATAATAAAAAAATGCCATTACACTAAAATCTTATGGCAAAATAACTCCAAACTTTGTTATACATTAATCTCAAAATGTTAAAAAGTCTCAAGGTTAGAATTCAACAAAGTAATGTATTAATGGCTAATTTACAGTGCATTCTGAAATGGGCCATTGTGCATGGGAGGCGTGTGGCGCAGTGGACTAGTGCGTTGGTGTTCGGATCAAGGGAGCACAGGTTCAAACCCCCGCTTTGGATAAAAGCGACTTACATGTATTGTGCAGAATTAGTACATTTTGATGCTAAAACGTTGTTAATTTCCATCCATCTTCTACCGCTTTTCTGACCCGGGTGGATTTTGTAATTGACCTGTAAAAATAAAATCAGGAGTTTGAAATGTAGTATTTTACGACGATAAGGAATCATTCTTCAAATTCTGGATATCTATTTGTATCGTTTATTTAGCGGCCAAAATCATAGGAAAGTAAAACAGAAATGTAACTGAGGCACCAGATAGCGAACTTTACGGAGGGAAGTTCAGACGAGATCTACTTTTCTGTGCATTTGATTCCTATAAGTGAAGTACAATGAACAGGTGTCTTATTTGTTGCTGAAGCCTTTCCTTCTTTAGTCCTGCTTGAATCACCCTGGTAGAAAACGATATGCCTACTAGTGCTCTCACAATATAGTAAAAGCTATAAGTAAAAGCATAACACTACTTTAACTAACTTAAGTAATATCACTAAGTTATAAAACATTAACTATAAACAAAAACAACAAGAAAACAAATTAAACTATTAAATAATATGGAGCTCCAACCCTTGTTTCGCTTTTACTACTCCGTCTTTTACTAACCGTTATCTCCTATATGAAATGAAAATGGAATATAGCCAAAAACACATGTTGGAAAAACTAACTTAAAGCATCTTGTGTCCTTCTGTCTTCACACTGTTTCAAAAATATAATTCTCTCCATAAATCACATTAATCTCGCCCTGCTTATTGTATCCGCTCACATGTCGACCCTTCTTGAACATAAGTGCCGTCGCCCACCTTCTTCTAAACTTATCGGTGCACAGCTGCCGCCGAGCCTTGTGGGTAAATAGTGATAAAACATTTCCCAGTGCCGCATTAAAGAAAAAGCTTTTCAGAAATCTGCTCCGTTAGATTTATAAGCGCAGCTCATAAAATCTATTTCTACGTCTCTTCGGGCCGTGTTGGAATCACCCACATCCTTATTTGAGTGTTTGTTTTATTTGTGTGAATATTTACGAGCCTTTTTGCTCGCCAGCGTTGTTTATCGCCGTATTCTCGAACCCGGAGCAAACAAAGCGTCCGCGGCAGATGAAAGTGATGAGGTCCTCGCTGATGTACTTTTACTTCCTCATTATTCCCTGGTTTTATGGTCGGTTCTTTCCAGAGTTTTTTAACCCACGTTGCGGTTCCCTGACAGAGGTCAAAGGCACAGTTTGGCGCTTTGCCTCAAACCCTGAAAGTCTAAATTGTGCGTTTTGGATTTACCATACATCAAAATAAAGTCCTGATCACAGAAGAGAGCCTCTTTTATCCGGAGCGCTCACACTCTGGCCATGTTTCTGGTCCGCTCTGTACTTACTGAGCCCGTTTTGACCGAACTGAAGCACATTTCAGACAGAGGGGGGCACTTTAATGTGTTCACATGTCACCGCTTCACTACTTCCTAACTCCTTCCGTCTGTATGGCAGATCTCCCGCTGCCTAGCCCTGGAGATAATAATCATAATAGTGTAATAACTTTCTTTATACA